CCCCCCCCCCTACCCCGCCATGGGTCTGTTTTGGGGCTTTCAGCCAGGCATGTGCTCCACAGGCTGTTCTTACCATCTGACTGGGGAGGGGAGGGCAGGGCTTATTTATATCTGCCCGAGCTGCTTGTCAGGACCCACACATCTGGTTCTCATGGCAACGCGCCTGTTGCTGACAAACAAAAACAAATCTTTAAGACATTGTGGGAGTTCTGTTCAAGAAGAGGCTGGGTACAAGTCCCAGATACTTGCTACTTTGGGCAGGTCACTTGCCCTTTCTGGGCCTCAGTTTTCCTCATCTGTGTGCTGGGAGCTGTCAGAGGCCCCAGTAAGAATAGCTTTGTGAGCTATAACATGCCTGTGTCTCCCCTGTGGTGTCTTGGCACGCGAGTGGGTGAACGTGTCTCCCTGAGGTTGGCGCCCTCCACATCAGGGAGTAGTGGGAATTGGAACTCTGGTCCCCAATTTTGAGGCCTGTGGGTGAGCATAGGGTCAGCAGGGGAAGGAGCCTACCTTCCTCCCCCTCCCCCCCCAACGGTTCCACATGGCAGTGTCTCTTCCCTGCAGTGGTGAAAACAGAGTGGTCTCTAGCATCACTCTGCTTCCATTTACAATCATGCCATCATTTATTCCCACAACCACCCTGGGAGGAAGGATGTTGCATTAAACAGTCCTGTTTTAGAGAAGTCAGTGGTCTCTGCATGGAGTACAGGTCAGGAAGTTGGGAAGGCTGGAGGTTTGCAGGGTGTTCTGCCCCATCAGCCACATGGCTCCAGGCAGGCGTCTACTCCATTGGGACTGCACCTTCTGCGTGGTCTGAGCACGGACTCTGGGCCATCTGTGGCCTCACCTCTGTCACTGATGACTTGAGGAAGCCCATCTATCTGGGCAAAGCCCACTCAACCCCCTCTCCCCCTGCAGGAAAGTGGAGGACCTGCAGTTCCGAGTGGAGGAGGAGTCCATTACCAAGGGAGACCTGGAGGTAATAGTCAAAGACACCACCCCCAGCTTGCTTGGCACCCCAGGCCCAGCCCTTGTAGGGCAAATGGCCATGAGATCCAAGCAGCAACTCTGGGCCCCCTGGGAGAGAGCTATGGGGATTTTGGGGGAGAAATAAAGAAGGGTCAAAGGTCATACCCTGGGAGAATGGGAAGGGGGTTGGTCATAAGAGACTCGGTTGTCATAGGTGGGAATGGCTCAGCTCCAGGAGCCTGAGGGGTTGTGGCCACTGGGTGGGATGCACCAAGGGTATCCAAAGGGCTGAGTCTGAGGACATATTGGCTGACTCCCCAGTCCCTGCTTTGTTGGGTAATAGCCATAAAAGTGACCCTTGGGCCCTTACTCATCTTTGATTCCAGGTAAAATTTTGGCTAAAATTAGCTTGTTGTTGAGTCACAGAACTTACAGATGGAAAAACAGGCTCAGAAAGGCAAATGGACTCACCCAGTAATAGAGCAAGTCAGCAGCCCCTAGGACCAGGGACCAGGACTCCTGACTCCTGAGCTCAGCCCGTAAGGATGCCAGTTATAGTACCTCCTTGGTTATAACACCTGGGCAAGTGGTCTGGGCACAGGCGGACCTTTCACTCTTCAACCCACCCTTTCTGAGCCCAGGGATAGGGGTGCTCACATCAATTAGTGATGTGAGCACCCCCATTCCAGCCCTCCCCAAAGCATGTAGAGACGGCTGGGCTCACTAGGCCACAGCTGGGTCTGTCAGACTCCTGGAGCTGTCAGACGGGGCAGGTGACAGTGAGTTCAGCCCTTCTCCACATGCTGACCTGCCCTAACTGGCCTTGGGCAGCCTCTTCCCTTCCAAAGCCTCAGTTTGCTTTGCTATAAAATGAAGAGGTTGAAGTAGGTCAGTGAGAATTCATCACCTGGATGACTTGTTCAGATACAAGAGGCTGACCCCAGCCTCAGAGTGGCCATTCAGCCAGTTTGGGTGGCACCTGAAATTTGCATTTCTAACAAGTTCCCAGGTGATGCTGGTCTAGGCACCACACTTTGGGAATCACTGCACTAGATCATTCTGAGCTCAAATCGGAAATTGCAGTGTCTGATTTTGCAAAAGAGCAATATTAAGACCCTTATAACTTCACTGCACAGCAAAAGCTTTTGAATGGTTGTCCTGTCTCCAGCTGAGAGAGGGACATGTATGATCTACATAGGGTCACTGCCAGCTACTCCTGTTGGAGCAGGTTTTGCTTCTTAAGATTAAAGGATGGATGTCAGAGCACAACCTGGTGTAGAGGCCCCAGCCCAGTGCCAGGGTGTTCTCATTGATGGATGTTTCCCTCTTAGCTAAGGGGGCAGGTCATGTGGTTATGTCTGGCTGGCTTTCCTCCTGGATGGCTGCCTCCTGCAGGACTTGGGGTGGGTTTCTGGGAAGAGTGCCTGTAGGTGTAAGAAAGAGACCCCTCCTGCTAACTCCGGTCAACAGCAGGGAAAGGTTACAAGGGAAATCTCACAGGCAGTTCAGGGAACTGGAACAAGAAACAGCATTAGGATCCAAGCCCATTCTCGCCTGCTCGGGGGTCTCCTCATGACTTGTGGTCAGGCTTCCTATCTGTCTGTCTCTCTCACTGTGTCTCCATGTCCCTTAGCACATCTGCTCCCTCTCCCCACTGCCTGCCCAGCTTCTTGGACCCACCCAGACTCCAGCATCCACCATATACTAGCTGTCCTCTCAAGAGAATCTGATTGGTCCTAGACTAGCTAATGCGCTGGCTGACTTTAGATCAGTTGTCCACCCCAGATCCAATTGGCCCTGGCTAGGAGAGACAGGGGGTGGGACAGACAATGACTGACAGCTAATTCAGTCCAAGGGCAAGAGTCCTGTCACTGCTGTTTTTATTGTGACCACATTCGTGGTAAGCAGAAGGCAAATTGATTCAAAATTCCATTCATCCCCACTCATCTTAAAAGTCAAAAATAAAACTCAGAACACCTGGTCCCCCTCCAGCTCTGTCGCCCCATCTGCCTGTTCATTGTTCTGACCTCAATCCCCCAACCCCAGGAGGTGCCGCATTCCAGCCTCTCAGCCTCCTTCCTGACCTCTGACATTGGCCTGTCCAAGGGCTCAGTCTGGGCCCACATGCCTCTTGGTCTACACTCTCCCTGAGAGCTTTCAGTCTGTGACATTAAATGCCCTTTATAAGCCCATGATTCCCCTGGTCTTCCCCCGATCTCTGCACGGGTGTGCCTGCTGGACACTTCCACCAGGACAAGTAAGTGATGAGCGCCTTTAGCATTTCCCTGGGGCTGCAGTAAAAAAAATTTTTTTTACTATAATTTGGTGGTTAAAAAGAATAGATTTATTCTTTGACAATTCTGGAGGCTAGAAGTCCGAAATCAAGGTGCGGGCAGGGTCATCCCTATGTCTCTTCACATGACCTTCTTAGAAGGACACCAGTCATTGGATTTTGGGCCCAACTTAATCCAGTATGACCCCATTTTAACTAATTACTTGGCAAAGACCCTATTTCTAAACAAGGCCACGTTCTGAGGTTCCAGGAGGGTATGAAATTTGGGGGGATGCTATTCAGCCCAGTACAGGAGCCCACATGTAACATGTCCCAGGCAGACCTCTCCATTTGTTCCTCTCTCCCCCTAACACCACCCCCCTTACCTTTCTCATCTCACAATTGGCCCACAATTCACACAGTTGCTCAGGCCCCACAGCTAAAATTTATCTCGAGCCCAGCCGGGCGTGGCTCAGCTTGAGCGTCGACCTAGGATCCAGGCAATTGGGGTTCGATTCCCAGTCAGGGCACATGCCCAGGTTGTGGGTTCAGTCAATGACTCTCTCATCATCGATGTTTCTATCTCTCTCTTGCCCTCTCCTTTCCTCTCTCTGAATCAATAAAGATATATTTTAAAAATAAATAAATAAAATAAAATTTATCTCGAACCTTCTTTTTCCCTCCTCCCTTTATCAGAAATCCTTTTGACCTTGCTGCCAAAGTCATCTTCATCCCCACGGCCACCTTCCTGGGCCAGGCCACAGCGCCTTGCCTTGGACAGCTGCATAGCCTCTACTTGGCTGCTCTGTTTCTGCTCTTAGTCCTCAACTGTCATTTGTCACACTGAAGCCAGATAGACTTTATAAAAGTGTCTTTTTAATTTTTAACACTGGAAAATTTTGAATCTCTAAGTAGAGGATGACGTCATGAACCCCCATTTACACATTACCCGGCTTCAACGGTTTTCAACTCACGGCCACTAGTTTCAGCCATACCCCCCACCCACAGCCCCTTCTCATGTTATTTTGAAGCAAACCACAGACATCATATGACCACATCTTTTAAAAACATAAATCAGATCCAGTTCCTTTTCTGCTCACACATCTCAGGCCACCACCTGAGATAAAAGCCAGGCTCTGTAGAGTGGCCAAGGGAGGACCTTCGGGACCCAGCCCTGCCACACACATCTGTTCCAGGCACAGAGGGCTCCCCGCTGCCTCTGGAATACCCCAAGCCCTGTCTGCCCCTGAGCTTCTGCTCGTGCTGGTTCCTCTGCCTGACCTTCTCCTCCCCGTGCCTGGGTCCCTACCTCTCCTTTAGGTCTCACCTTAAATTGTATTTCTTAGAGGCCTTTCCTGCCTCGTCGTTTTACGTCCATCCCACTTGCTCTCCACTTGGTGCTCTGTTCCTAATTCGAGTCACAACCTGAAGTTGTTGTCACTAATCATTTATTGTTTGCATCCTTCCCTAGAATGTGAGCTCCTTGAGGGTGGGGACCCTGTCCATCTTGTTTACGTTTATATCCCCAATGCCAGAGCAGGACAGGAGCATGGTCAGGTGCTCCTCAGGAGTGGGATCATAGGGCAGAGGCTGGGGATATGTTTTGTGGTTCTCAAAAGGGTGTTGCCATGTTGCATCATGGAAACCTGTGCCACTCTCTGCCACCAGGGTTCAGGTTATTGTTTTATTAATCAAATAGCCCCCTCAGTGTTATTTTTTATTTGCATGGGAACACCCATTGTAGCAGAGAGAGCCAGTTTTATGAACTCAGAATTAGCGTTTGTTGAGAAGGATTTGGTGCGAGGCCTGAAGGAACATCAAGAGGTATGACAGTGCCCGTGACCTTCAGGACCCACTCGTGCGGTTGGAGAAACTCCTTCCCCATTTAGTTAATAATAATAATAGTGTGAGAGGCATGGCGGTGTGCTTTGGAGTGGAGTAGACATGGTTTGTGTGAGGAGAAGGAAAAGAGCTGCAGGGCAAGGGCTCAGGCAGGGCTGGCCTGAGCTTCCAGGGTTGGGAATGGGGCAGAGAGACAGGGAGCTCCCCACTTCAGGAGCCTCCTTCATTGCTCCAGGCGGCTGCCGGAAACCTTGCCTCCCCTCTGTGGAGTCAGGATGGTCTGAGGTAAGATGCCAGTTCTGAGGTCCAGCCATCTGAGTCTGGACCTTGCTCTGCCCGGAGGTGCAGCGTGATTCTGAGCTCGAGGCTTTCTCTGCCTGGAGTGGCCTGCCTCTCTTGCAGGATGGGGAGCCTGCCTTGATGGTGGTTTTCAGAACATCAACTCCAGCAGACCCGATACTGACTAAAACAGGAGGGTGGTGGCCCCCACCCCTCAGGCCCTGCTCAGTGTCCCTGGAGCAGAATGGAGGTTAGATCGTCCACCCACCTAAAATCTAGTCTCTAAGGCTGCCCCACCCAAGCTCCTAAGTTGAATTTATCCTCACTGAATGAGTACTGGAAACAACTCCACTGAGCTCCCATGTGTCCCCACAGACTGCAGCCCATGGACCAGGAAGCTAGAAGTTTGGAAAGTGATGGAGATGAGTCCTGTTGGGGGGCACCAAATGCAATTGCCCTTAAAATTGTGAAGCTGGGGGCTTTTTCTTGCCCATGGGGTCACCAGTAGGGCATTTATGATCATGCTCCATCTAGCGTGGGTCCTGGGCAGCGCTACTGTGCCCACCCTCAGTGAGAGGAGGGTGGGGACATGCCCTGCAAGGCTGTAATTTTCTGGAAGAGCCTGAGTGTGGCTGCTGGTTAGCACTGCGGTGTACTGCCCTCTTGAGAGAGAAAGAGGGAAACTTTTTAGTTGTTCTTATAGGAAAATTCACAGAAATAAGGTCACAGGCCAAAGCACATGAACATCTCTGTAGCTCTTGATGAATTGCAAGAGTTTCTGGGACGGGAGGTATCGGTTTACACCGTTGCCGTCAGCCATGCTAGTGTCGGGTGCGTATTCCTGTTTTTAGGGATACGTGCTATGTTGCTAAGCCTGCCTCTTCAGAGCTGCCACACAGACTTGCTTTAACCTTGTTTCTCCTGGATGGTGACGGGACAAGCAGGGGGATGAGGAGGATTCTCTAGCTTCTCCCTAACCTGAACTTGGTCTCCATACTGCTTTGAATGCTCACAGATCTGTCACGGGAAACCCAAATGCCAGCCTGGATGCCCGGAGAATGCCAGGCTTTGTTAGTGTGTGAAGTGGGGGTTGTGAAGCTTGGACAAAAATGCCCTTGTGCTTTCGGGAGACCAGGCGTTCTCTGCAGGGCCCTGGGGGGTGGGCACTGACAGCGCTGGGCATGGGGCTGGGCAGTGGGAGGCACAGCTCAGCCTCCACCAGGGAGGCCAGGCTGGGAGAATCATGATGGTGCGGGTACATTTTTGAAAACCTCCCATTCATTTGGTTCGTCCACCTTCAGCACAGGCCTGGGGACCAAGAATCCTGCGGTCATTTACTTGCTCATCCCTCCTGGCGGCCTCCTGTGCCTGGCATGATGAACAGCCCACAGGGTTCTCCTGGGGAGTGGGAGCAGGCTGGGGCTCCTTCCCAGAGCTGTAAGGGAAAGGGCCAGCTGGAGGTGACAAAAGGGACCCAGGGTGCCCATTGCCACCCAGCTTGGGCAGGGTGCTACAGCCTGTCCTCTGCCCTTAAAGAAACCCAGCCAGGACGCTGAGGGGCAGGGGGAAGGCTCACCTCCCCAGACCCCCTCTTTCCCTGAGCCACCTCCTCTCCTTGACCTGTTTTCCTGTCTTGTTCATGGTAGATGACGCCACCTCTCTCTCTTTCTCTCTCTTCCTCCTGCTTCCTTTCCCTGTGCCCTCTGCCCTGTCCTTACCTCCCCGCCCACCTGGGTGGACCAGACCCAGACGCAGCTGGAGCACGCGCGCATTGGGGAGCTGGAGCAGAGCCTGCTACTGGAGAAGGCGCAGGCCGAGCGGCTGCTCCGAGAATTAGCCGACAACAGGGTAACGCGCCCTCCGCCTCTGGCCCGCCAGCGCCCTGGCCTGTGGACATACCTGGGCCTCCTCTGTTTTATTATTTTCTCTGTCCTTGACTGCTGTCTTCATTGTTTTTTTACTTTTGCGCCCTTTCTAGGAGGGAAGTGGAGGGTCAGAAATGCGCCAGTACTCCACTGCCATGGATGCCTGTTGGGGGAGGGGGCTTGGCTCTCTGTGACTTTGCTCCCCAGCTAGTCCAGTGGCTGGGAATGTCCTGTGAGACCCTCCGCCTCCCTCCCTTCCCATGCATTGCCATGACACAGTTTGGTCATGTTCAGAAATCATGGGTCTCTTGGGAACATTCTGCCTTCTGTGGGCAGGCACAGAGACAACCTGTCCATGCCTCCCTTCTCCCAGCTGGGGAAGGCTGGAGGTTGGGGGACTGTAGATCCAGGTTTCTCTAGCCTGGAAGGTCTTGAATATGGTGGCAGGAGGGGCCCCCTGAAGGACCTGGGGCTGGGGATCTAGGTTTCTGTGTCAGCCCAGGATATGGCCGTTGTGGATCAGGGAGTAGTTCCTAGCTAAGGAAAGTTCTGTTTGGAGGTGAGTTCCCCCTGAGTCCCAGGGCCTGGTTCCAAGTCCAGGCTCCAGGCCCAGCTAGCCCATGAATATCCTGGGACTGGCCCCTGTGCAGGCACACACATGCCAACAGCTGGCTGTTCTAGCCCAGGGGACAGCCCAGCTGCAATTCTGGCAACAGCTAAACAGCCAGCGAGCAGTGATTGGGGTGTAAACAGCATGCAGTGTGGTGTGCGGAGCGGTCAGTTTCTGCATGTCAGCCTCAGCACACAGGGGAGTGTGTGCAGGCAGTGGGCACCTGGGGACACAGAGCTCATTTTACACACACTAACTGTTGCCCAGTGACCGTGTGTGCTCATGCAGTACACATGCATGTGCACAGAGGCTACTTGCAGAAACTGACTTGGTCATGGTTGACAGGCTGGAGCCCTCCACACCAAGGCATCTTAATCTAGGCTTCAACTTGATTGAAAAACAAGTTCATTGAACTAAAGGTCAGCTTCAGAAACAAAAATTTTAAGCTTGTAAAAGATATAAAACGTTTAAATATTTTGTTTCCAAATCTGTGACCATTGGCGTGATCAAGGTGTGGGTTTTTGGAGGGTGGAACCTCTGATCTCAAGAGTTTTCTATCAGGAGGCAGGCCTGGGAGCATTAATTTTGTTCTGCTTTAAACATTAAGCCGACTCTTCTTTGGCCACCCCCTCTAGACAGCCCCTCTGAATCAACCCATTCTAGCTGGGGACTTTCGAGAACAGGATAATGCAAAAATCCCCTATGGTCTCTGCTCTTTTAAAAAGAACATGAACTGAAAGAAACCCATAACCTCAAATAGGTGGTTTCTTTTAACCACCAATTTGCCCCAAGCCTAGTGCAGCAGGGACAGCTGACTCCCTGAATCACTGGGGTACAAGCCAGGGGGTTCTTTCTGGTAGCTGTGGTGGGCAAGGCCCCTGAGAAAAACCAGCACTCGGGTAAGGGTGGATGCCCTTCCCTTCTCATGACCTTCTGCCACTGGGGCTGGGGCCCTTGAGTGGTGAGGAAGCCCCCCCTAAACTCCTGTTGCATCCCCCTTGCTCTCCAGCTGGCCTGCTGATCCTGTCTCCCTCTCTCCCTGGTAGCTGACCACGGTGGCCGAGAAGTCGAGGGTGCTGCAGCTGGAGGAGGAGCTGAACCTGCGGCGCGGTGAGATCGAGGAGCTGCAGCAGTGCCTGCTGCACTCGGGCCCACCGCCTGCTGACCACCCTGAAGCCACAGAGACCCTGCGGCTGCGGGAGCGGCTGCTGTCGGCCAGTAAGGAGCACCAGAGGGAGAGCGGTGTGCTGCGAGACAAGTATGAGAAGGCCCTGAGGGCCTACCAGGCGGAGCTGGAGAAGCTCCGGGCTGCCAACGAGAAGTATGCACAGGAAGTGGTGGACCTCAAGGCCAAGGTCCAGCAGGCCACCAGTGAGAACATGGGGCTCATGGACAACTGGAAGTCCAAGCTGGACTCGCTAGCCTCGGACCACCAGAAGTCCCTGGAGGACCTCAAGGCCACCCTGAACTCGGGCCCAGGTGCCCAGCAGAAGGAGATTGGGGAGCTGAAGGCTGTGATGGAGGGCATTAAGATGGAGCACCAGCTGGAGCTGGGCAACCTGCGCGCCAAGCACGACATTGAGACCGCCATGCACGTGAAGGAGAAGGAGGGCCTGCGGCAGAAGCTGCAGGAGGCCCAGGAGGAGCTGGCCGGCCTGCAGCAGCACTGGCGGGCCCAGCTGGAAGTGCAGGCCAGCCAGCACCGGCTGGAGCTGCAGGAGGCCCAGGACCAGCGCCGGGACGCTGAGCTGCGGGTGCATGAGCTGGAGAAGCTGGACGCGGAGTACCGGGGCCAGGCACAGGCCATCGAGTTCCTCAAGGAGCAGATCTCCCTGGCAGAGAAGAAGATGCTGGACTACGAGCTGCTACAGCGGTCGGAGGCCCAGAGCAAGCAGGAGGCCGAGAGGCTGCGGGAGAAGCTGCTGGTCGCTGAAAACAGACTCCAAGCTGTCGAGTCCCTGTGCTCGTCCCAGCACACCAACGTATGCAGCACCCTTCTTCCTGGGCTGTGTGGGGGCCCACAGGCAACAGCAGCTCAGGCCTGAGGGCTGGCTGGGGAGGGCCTAGGTGTTTATTGACCTCTTTTTTCCAGCCCAGGGAAGCATTCTCCTTGCCCTCAGGTACATGCCCATTTGAAATCTGGGGGCATCAGGTTCAGAGGAGGAGCCTCTTCTCCCTCTGTCAGAAGGGCAGCTGACCTAGGTGACTGCGGGGACCCAAGGTAGTCTGAGCTGACCTGGTTGGGTCCCCCACAGACCAGGCCTGGAGAGAGATGTACCTCAGAGCAGAGAACAGGCTTCTTCCAAGTCCCCAAGTCCCTGATGTACCCAGGGACTTGTCCTCTGCAGGCTCTTATGCCATGAGGCTGGCATTAACGTGGAGGACAAGCCCTGACCAGTCCTGGGGCTCCCATCTCCAACTCGAGTGCTAACCAAGGGGATCTAAGGACGGGCTGAGCAACAGTCCAGTGGTCACTTCCCCAGAGTGTGGGGGTCCCTGGAGTGGGGTCTGGAAGGCTGGAGGGGGATGGCCCTGGAGAGGCTACTGCCACAATATTAGCTTTTCTCCAAATGTAGATATCTCAGATGAGCAAGCTAAGGAGGCCCATACAGGTGTATTCACTCCAGTGGGGCTGGGAAGGGCCTTTGAGTGGCTCAGGGCACTACACCTTGTGCCAGGCCCTGTGTTGCCCCATTTCACTTTCACTCCCATGAGGTCAATATGGGCTCCATTTCATAGATGAGCCAATCTTTCCAGGGTTTCTGCCCACTAGTGGGACAACTAGCAGTATGATCATTGCCTTTTTACAGGCCCCGGGGATTCTTGATCTTCAGTTCCTCGTACTTTTACATTAGAATTTAGCATTCCAGCAATAAGTCTTCAGAAGTTCCAAATACAGGGTGCCTTTTTGTAAAAGGAGCTCTGCTTGTGTCATGCTTTGAGGTCCCAATGTAGTAGCCTTTGGCCCCCTTCTGCTAGGAAGTGACCATTTTTAGCAAGTGCTCTCCCAGGATCCTGGGCAGAAGGAAAAGGAAGAGCCCCAGGTTAGCCTATGTGTATATGGCCTGATTGGCTTCTCAGGGCAGGGTGGGCAGGCCTGGGACCCCACACCTGGACTCCCTTAGCAGGAGAGGTTTGTGGCTGCTCTAGTTCCACAGAGCATAGGGGACAGAGGCCGGAGGGTGGCCTCCTGCTCCTCAGTCACAAACCTTGGACTGAGGAATGGGTGATGACCTCAGGAAGACCTCTCTTGACTTCCACACACACGGTGTCTCAGTCTGGACCCACATGTCCAGGGACACTAGATTTTTGGTCTCATGTAGAAAGTATGAGAATTTTTAAAGAATGTTTTAGTGTGTGCCTTATTTTCCCTGCCGTGTTTGTAAATAAAGATCGAGGGGGCTTAGTTATCACTATCTGAGACTAAAATGGGGGTTGGGATGTATAAGAAAAGTATGAGGGACAGGTGGATGGAGGTGACTGCCTCCTCAGCTCTGTGCTGTCTTGATTTGCAGTGTTAGACTCTGGCAAACTACAAGCTCAAAGGACAGCCAGCATGAGCAGGAGGCCAGAAACTTCTGGAGAAGGAAGCAGTAAGGAGCCAGTTGATGTTTGCCCAGATTTTTTTCTTCTTAATATTTTCTTCTTCGGCTTCTGGGTTTATTATTTAAAAGAAGTGTTGGAGAGAAAGGAAGTAGCATTTCTTGAAGTCCCTCTAGGAGCTAGCCCTGGGCTTGCCCTGCACACACTTCCCCATGGCAGTCGATACTTGTTTCATGGAGGGGAAACTGAGGCTGGAATTTTGCCTCTGGATGTTGGTGGAAACAGATTCTCAGGACCCACCTCTGTAGGTATCCCAGGGAAGGAGACATCTGTTTAATATAATAGACATTTTCAACAGAGGAAGGGGTAGGAGGTGTGCCCATGGAAACCACAGAGCAGCCTTGGGGGTGATGGGAGCAGAGGAGGGGTCCTCTGTTGCCGGGGGGTTATATCAAGGACACCTGTGCTCCCTGCCACAGCAAGTCCCCTTATGGAGTGTGAAGGTGGGGCATGCTTGTTGGGTTGGTTGGGGCTGGGGACAGAGGGGAAGCGAGCGTCCCCCTTACAGGCCTCTTCTTTCAGATGATTGAGTCGAATGACATTTCAGGGGAGAAGATCAGGATGAAGGAGACTGTGGAGGGTAAGTGGCTGCTAGGCAGGTGGGACAGGGCTTTGGGGACAGGCTGGTTTGTTCTGCCTTTGAGCTGGGTGCCATTTGGTTTTGCACCATCTGCCATTTGGTGAGAGGTGCCTACTGCATGTTCAAGCCACCCCGCAGGTGAGGAGGGCTGTGGCTCTGTTTATTGAGTTCTGGGCATCATGCAAATACCCTGTTATTTATTTGGTTTTACGTTTTCTTTTCTTTTTTTAATATATTTTTATTGATTTCAGAGAGAGGAAGGGAGAGGGAGAGGGAGAGGGAGAGGGAGAGGGAGAGACAGAAACATCAATGATGAGAGTCATTGATTGGCTGCCTACTGCTGGGAATTGAGCCTGAAACCCGGGCATGTGCCCTGACCGGGAATCAAACTGAAATCTCTTGGATCATAGGTCGATGCTCAACCACTGAGTCACGCTGGCCAGGCTGGTTTTACATTATTTTTAAAATAGGTAAAAACTAACATATGGTGACAAGAGAAGATCTGACTTTGTGTGGTGGGCACACAGTGCAGTATACAGATCTTGTAACATAGAAACACACCTGAGCCCGGCCGGGCGTGGCTCAGCGGTTAAGCGTCGACCTAGGATCCAGGCGATCAGGGTTCGATTCCCGGTCAGGGCACAAGCCCGGGTTGCGGGCTGCAGCTGATCAATGACTCTCTCACCATTGATGTTTCTATCTCTCTCTCCCTCTCCTTTCCTCTCTCTGAAATCAATAAAGATATATTAAAAAAAAAAAAAAGAAACACACCTGAAACCTATATGATCATATTAACCAATGTCACCCCCCCAAAATTTAACAAAATAAAATAGGTATAAACTACAAATAGTTCAAAGGGCATAAGGTGAAGGGTCTCTTATTCCCTGGTTCCCTTCCCAAAGGCACAGCGTCGGCCAACTTCTGTCTGTCCCCATGCAGAGAGTGTCTGCACATACAAGCAAATAGGTAACAGATGGTGCCATACCTCTCATTCTCTTCAGCTCCTTACTTTTTTCCATTTAATAATGTATCTTGGAGACTCTTCCTTATCACTACAGTCTTTTCTGTGGTGCAGAATATCCCATTGTGTGGAGCCACCATTGTATATTTAGCCAGTTTCCTACTGTAGGTCGTTTTTATTCTTTGCCTATTGCAAACATCGCTACTACAAGTTACCACCTCCTTGGGCTCAACCAGTTTTAACTCCCACTGGCTGTGGTTGAAAGTGGGTTTTCCCACAAGCCTCACCAACATTGTTTCATCAAACTGTGATCTCTGCCAGTCTGAACAGTAAAAGATGTCACCTGATGTAATTTCAGTTTACCTTTCTCTCACTGTGCATGAAGCGCCATTTCCATTTCTACTGGCATCCTTTGCCCATTTTTCCCCTATTGGATTATTGATCTTTTTGTTCATTTTTAGAAACTCCTTACATATGACATTGCAAACATTCCCCCCACTTGTTTGACTTTTCTTATAGTGGTATTTGCCATGCAGATTTTCTTAAATTGATCTGTTTCTTGGCTTCTGGATTTATTATTTTTATAAATGTATCCCATGGCTTCTTCTAGTACTTTTTATATGTTTAAATCTCTGGTCCATCTAGAATTGATCCTTCTATAAGGTATGAGGTAGGGACCCATTTTTATTTTTTTCCTAAAAGAGTACCCACTTGTCCCAATACCATAATACCATGTTTGAAAAACTTATCTTCCCCTCTCTACTGACTTGAATTGCAAGCATTATTTTTAAATTTTCTTATATAACTGACTCTATTTCTGAATTTGTCTATTCCTTTCCAATGACCTTTCTATCTGTTCATGTGCCAATTCTATAACATTTTTGTTTTTAATTTATTTTTATTGCGTTTGGAGAGGGGAAAAGGGAGAGAGAGAGAGACACACATCGATCAGTTGCCTCCAATACGCACCCTGACCAGAAATCGAACCTGTGACCTTCCAGTGCACAGGGTGATGCTCCAGCCAACTGGCACACCAGCCAGGGCCTATAATGTTTTAATTATTCAAGCTTGGTTTGGTTTTTAGTTCCTGGTAAGCCTAGTCTTTCCTACTCTGCTTTTTCAAAATTCTCCTCGCCATTTTTTTTTAATCCTCACCTGAGAACATGCGTAGAGAGAAGAAGGGGAGGAGAGAGAAGGGAGAGAGAGAAACGGAGAGAGACATCGATCAGTTGCCTTCTGTACGTGCCCCAACCAGGGGTTACACCCAAAACTCAGGTATGTGCACTGACCCAGAATTGAACCAGCAACCTTTTAGTGCATGGGACATCGCTGCAACCAACTGAGCCACTTCGGCCAGACCATTTTTTTTAATTAGGGAAAAATTAACATAACATAAAATTAAACAGTTTAAAGCAAACATTCAGTGACATTCACAGTATTTTGCACCCACCACCTCTATCTAGTTCAAAAACATTTTCGTCACTTCCAAAGGCAACCTCATACCCAAAACCAGTCACTCTATTCTCCCCTCCCTCCAGCTGCTGACAACCACTAATCTGCTTTCTGTCTCTATGGGTTTGCCTATTTTGGATATTTCCTATAAATAGAATCTTACAATATGTGGCCTTTTGTGTCTAGCTTAGTGCACATAGCATGATGTATTCAAGGTCCATCCATGTTGTAGCATGAGTCAGTGCTTCATCCCAGTTTATGGCTGAGTAATATTCCATCCCATGCATATGCCACCGTTTGTTTATCCATCCACCTGTGGATGGACATTTGGGCTCTCTCCACCTTTTGGCTGTTGTGAATAGTGCTGCTATAAACATGCATGTCCAAGTACTTGTTGCCTATCTGTTTTGGGAGGCATACACCTAGAGTGGAATTGCTAGGTCATATGGTAATTCTCTAGGTCATATGGTAAATCTGAAGAAGTTTTTGCCAAACTCTCTTGACTATTCTTGCTTATTTTTCCAAGAGATTTTAGAATCAGCTCATCTAGTTCTACAAGCATTAAAACTTGTTTGTATTTTTATTGGTATTACCTTAAACTTATAAATTAACTTATGGAAAGTTAATGTGTTTCTAGCACTTTCCATGCATTATCTTTTTACAACGGCTCTGAGGCTATCCAGTATTGAATGCACATGACCTTGTGACATGGGCACCGTTATTATCATCTCCATTTCTTGCTTGAGGAAACTCTGAGAGTTAAGTTGCCTGAGACCACACAGTAGTGGAGCCTCTACTTCAGAGTGGGTTACCCAGAGTGAGGGGTGGCGACCACTGTACCGCAGCACTGAACCTGGAGCATGAATGGCTCCTCGTCTCTCCCTTCTCCCCTAGGCCTGCAGGACAAGCTGAACAAGAGGGACAAAGAGGTGACAGCCTTGACGTCCCAGACTGAGATGCTCAAGGCCCAAGTAAGTGGTAAGTCTCCCTCCCGCAGGGCAGATGCGGGGGGTTTCATGGGGCCACATGTCAGTGGAGCGTGGAGAGGGTTGGCGCCTGGGTCAGGGTGCCCTCCCGCACTCTGCCTTGAGGAGGTGGCCTGGGCCAGTTCACCTTCACTGGACTGCCACTGGGCAGCAGTGAGTGTGGGAATAGTAGCCCTCTCATGGTCCATAATACAATTGGGGACCGCAGCCAGCTTCTCTCGCCAGTGGCCACTCTGTTCTGAAATTCCATCAGGATTTTTTGGTTTCTCATAGGCTATTTTGATATAGTCTGTCTGCCCCCAGCCCCTGGAGGAAGTACCAGGATTTAAGAATGGGGGGAAGGACACCGGCTGCAGCAGAGAGCAAGACACAGGGGAAGTGAGGACAGAGGGGAGCCTGGGGTGAGGCAAGGAATTTATGATTTGGTGCAAGACTGGCCCTGCTTCTTGTCTGCTGGAGTGCCAATGGTAGTGTCCATGAGATGACCCCACCCCGGGGAATGGTTCCCACCCCCACGTCTCTCCAGTTCCCATCACGTTCACATGGCATAGTTGGTTCCAACAAAGGTCAGTTGACCTCAGATGCCTCCAAGGCAGAGATGAAGCAACAGTGTAACACCGGGTCCTGTCTCAGGAAGGGTGGACTGCTTCCCACCACCACAGGGCCCAGGCTGCTGTGCTTGGGGGTCCTGTTCTGCTTTTTGTGGCTGTTCTCTCGGCCCCTAGCTGCCTGGCTCTGCAGGAGAGAGAGACCCAGTCATTGGAGTGTGTCATTGTGACCCCTAGCTGCCTGGCTCTGCAGGAGAGAGAGACCCAGTCATTGGAGTGTGTCACTGTGATCCCCCCCACCCGAGAAAACTGGCTCCCTGCCCGGGCCTTGGTCCTCGAGTGGGACAGATTCCCACAGTGATCCTGACCGTCTCCTTCCTTCCTGCTGGCTGACCCTCAGCACTGGAGAGCAGGTGCAAGTCTGGAGAGAAGAAGGCAGACACCCTCCAGAAAGAGAAGCGGCGCCTGGAGGCAGAGCTAGAGACCCTGTCCCGGAAGACCCACGACGCCTCCGGCCAGCTGGTCCTCATCAGCCAGGAGCTGCTCCGGAAGGAGCGGTGAGTCCGCTGTGAGCAGGGTAGTTGGACCCGCCTGGCCCTGCCACCCCGCTGTCTCCCCTCTGGCCCTGACATTCGCCAGTCCTCTCCAGAGGTGGGCAAGGATGGACTGGGTAGGACAGGTGGCTGGCATCACCAGCGATCGTTGTAGTCTCCTCTGCCAAGCTCAGGTGAAGCTTCAGAATCCTCCTTCACACAGCTCTCCAAGAACTTCCTGAAAAGATTAGTGGTTCCCAAACTTCTTTGTCTCAGGGATGCCTTTAAACTCTTAAACACTATTGAGGATTCCCACAAAGCTTGTGTTTATTTATTCTATATCTATCACATTAGAAATTAAAATTAAGGAATTTAAAAATATTTATTAATTCATTTAAAAGTAATAAACCAATTGCATGTAACATAAATAACATGCTTTTGATTAAAAGTAACTGTTTTCCAAAACAAAACAAAATTAATGAGAATAGTGGCATTGTTTAACATTTTGTATTCAGTCTTTGCAGTTTGTTGTTTTGGTTGAAATATATTATGAAAATCTGGCCTTACAGTGATATGTAGTTGGAAAAGAGTGTATTTTAATATTGTTTTCAGATCATTAATATGCCATGTGACCCCAGGGGGGGGAAATCATTGTATATGCATGAGAAATGATAGTGAAAATAGTTTTGACGCATGGACCGCTAAAAGGGTCTTGGGGACCCCTGAGTGTTCCCTATACCACACTTGGAAAACCTCTTGGTTCCAGTTTATAGACATGGTTTGTGTAACCCATATGAGGCTTTAGAAAAAAAAACAAAAAAAAAAACAAACTAGATAGCATTTAAAAATCAGAAGATTGCACATAAAATTTAGATTTCTCCAGATTCCCTTAAAAAAATTGGAAGTTTTGACAACACTAGGCTGACTTCCAGCCTAGAAACAACCAGCCATTGCTGGGGAGCACCTGCACCCTTTCAGTGGGCAGGGCCCTTTCAGTCTCCTAAGCCCCCCACCCTTCTTCATTATTTTACTTACACCCACTCACCGACATGGTTCACCAGCCCCTGCAAACATTTGAGGTTCAACCTCTGATTTAAAGGAATCTTGTTAAAGTACAAGCATCTTTTTATAAAGGAAATGCCGTCTCTTCCCCTCCTCTTAAGTCTGAGGTACACATTGGGAGTTTCTATGCTAGATTTGCTTCAAATTTAACACCTCTCTAGAAAATGTGGCCCATCCCAGGAGGGGGTTAAACAGGTGCAACTGGGGAACATTCCTTCCCAACATGAACTCATGACCAGCCAGGCTCCTCAGTTAAGGCTCCACTGATGTCTTGCTCCCCATACCCTCCCCCATCCAAATCAGATATTTTATTCTTTGTGCTCCGTCCAGTCTTGCCTCCCCTGAGGTGTTTGTCTTCCTGCTGTCAACTGGCTTATTTTTTCCTCTGTCTCTCATCACTCACTCAATTCCTACCTTCTTCTTTTTGGACATTTTATTCAATCCAGTCCATTTTTTGAGGCTTAGCTCACAGCCCATCTCTTTCTTGAAGCCTTTCTTTATTGAAGTAGGCCACCATGAGCTTCTCCATGCTCCTGTGGTGCTAACGAGGAGAGTAGAAAATCAGCCAGGAATGTGTTGCCAGATTAACAAGTAGAGATTTATTTTTCTCACATAACAGGAAATCTGGGAGTAGCTGTGGATGACAGTTGGTTTAGTGGCTAAAAAAATCAGTGCTAACTAATTGGTTCTCTTGGACTCTTCCTCATGGTGCATAGTGGCTGCTGGAGCTCCGGCCATCACATTCATAGCAGAAAGGAGGAGGAAAGGGAAAGGGGCAGTACCAGCAGATTTCCACTTTGTTCTCAACTACCCATCGCCACCTAGTAAGGGAGTTTTCCCCTCCTCTATAGTAGATGCAGGCAAGAGAACAGGCTTAGAAGGAGTGTGTTCTGTTCTCTAATCCTCTGCCTATTGAAGACACTGCTGATTGACCACCACAGGGCCTCAGTGTGCCTGAGAATCATTCTATCACAGTACTCCAGGCAGCTACTGCCAGTTGATTAAGGGCTCGCATGGGCAATAAAACTCATCTGATTTCCGTCATTTAAAGTCTTGCTTCTGGGCTCTCTTGGATAAATATTTTGTTTTGCTTTGTTTTGCTTAATTTTTTTAGTTAAGCAAATATTCTCTTTTTTAAAAAAAACTTTTAAAATATTCTAGGAAAGGCCAAGTCCTCTTCACTGTCCCATCCCTAAATCCTGGCCCCTCTGAGGCTATGGTCGAATCTTTTCATGCCTCATGTTTCCACTCTGGCCCCTTCTGGCGCAGGTGATGTTTTAATAGCCAGTCTCTAGGCATTAGGCTAATAGCTGGAGTATGGGAGTAGAGGCGCTGGGGCTGACTGTAGCTATTCTGTGCCCCCCCACATTCCTCCCCCAGGAGTCTGAACGAATTGCGGGTATTGTTGCTGGAGGCCAATCGCCACTCCCCAGGGCCTGAGAGGGACCTGAGCCGTGAGGTCCACAAGGCTGAGTGGCGGATCAAGGAGCAGAAACTCAAGGATGACATCCGGGGCCTTCGTGAAAAGCTGACTGGGCTGGTATGTGAGGGCAGAGGAATGCTAGGGTGAGGCTGAGGCTGCCCTGCAGTCAGGCCAGGGAGAGTGGTAACCTCTTGGATCCACCCCAGGAACAACCAAGCTTAGAGAGCATTCAAAATCCCCTAGAACCAAAGGGTCGGTGACATAGCTGGTGGAGGGGCTACAGGCAGCTGCTTTTGCAGACATCGTGGCTGGCTGCTGTGTGCCAGTCTAGGTGATGCAATGCAAAGGGCTACTGTCTAAGAATCAGACCTATCCAGAGGTAAGATGGGCTACTGCAGGGTTGTGAGCTCCCCATCCTGAGAAGTAACCAGAAAGCAGCTACTTGTTTAGGGTCCTACAGTGCGGATTCACACATGAATGTGAGGAAGGAGGGGGCAAGTTTGAGTGGGAACCAGGCAGGTGTGTCTCCGGGGACCATGGTGGGTGGGGCAGCTGTGTCCTGCTGGGAGGAGGGGTGTAGAAGTCACTATCGGAGGGGGTCAGATGGCTGGAGGGTAAAAGGTGATGAGGCTTTGGGTCTGACGGTGAAGAGGAGGGATCCATATAAGACAGTGGGGAGGAAGTGAGGGTCAAGAATGAAAGAAGGAAGGCGTCTGGATTTCGGGACTTGGAGGATGTGAAGCATATGACAGAGCCTGCTTCAGTGGGGACTCTCAAGTGAGGGAGGGAGGGGTGAGGAATGTCCCGGTGATGCTCTGGCCTGGCCCAGAGATGGGGTGGGGCCAGGAGAGTTTCTTGCTTGGAGGAGAGGTTTCCCTCCCCTGGCACACACATGCACACGGGCACACATGTGCATGCACACAGGCACACACACACACACGCTCTTCCTTTCTCCCGCCACTCCCAGGACAAAGAGAAGTCACTGTCAGATCAGAGGCGCTACTCCCTCATTGACCCATCCTCAGCCCCTGAGCTCCTGCGGCTACAGCACCAGTTGATGAGCACAGAGGACACACTGCGAGATGCACTGGACCAGGCTCAGCAGGTGGAGAAGCTCATGGAGGCCATGAGGAGCAGTCCTGACAAGTCCCCGGTGAGCCATGGGCCAGGGCTGGGCTGACCAGGCAAACCAGAGGGCAGTGTTCCCATGGAGCATGGCCCTTTCCTGGGAACCCTGGTCCACAGGGTGGTGGGGGCGGCAGAGGCAGCTCTCTCTATCCTGGGAACCCTGGTCTGAAGCGGGAGGCAGCCCTGTCTGTCCTGGAAACCCTGGTCTGAGGGGAGAGACACAGGCATGTGCTCTGGGAGTTCCAGCCCAAGAGGTACATGGCTTTGGCATGAGGATCTCAGACTAAGGGGAGAGATGCGGCCTCACCCTAAGAGCCTTGGTCTGTGGGGGTCCTGGGTCACCCATTCTGAAGAGCTCTGGTCAGTTTGGAGCCTGAGGTGATCCTATCAAGAAGACCTCGCCATCTAGCGGACGTACTAAGAACTGCTGCGTGGCGAACCTCAGCATCTGCCCATGACTCTTACAGGCCATCGGCAATTCTGGTTCTGCAAACGGCATCCACCAGCAAGACAAGGCCCACAAACAAGAGGTAAGGGGCACTCTGGCCCCAGGGGACACCCTGGAACTCCCATCACCCTCCCGTACAGGCAGAAAAAAAGCCTTAAAAGTCACCAAAAATACAAACAAAGATGCATTATGCAAAGGCTTTACAATAGGACTCTCACAGAGGAACCCGGGCAGTTCATCTTAATTCAGAATTTATCCTGCTTTTTTAACCTTGTTTCCTTTTTTAAAAAATGTTTATTCTAAAGTAATGCATGCCTATTGGGAAACTTTTGGGGGGAAAAATACACAAAAATATATAAAGAAGAAAATGCTAGTAGCCCTGCTACTCAGAGATGACCAAGGTTAGTGTTTGTAAGTGGTAGCCTTCCTGAACTTTCCTAAGTATGTGTATGTGCGTAACTCATACGGGTACAGTCAGTTCTCATTCACAGATTCGACATTTGCAAATTTGCCTACTCACTAAGATTTATTTGTGACTCCAAAATCAATATTTGCAACAATTTTGTGGTCATTCATGAACATGCACAGAGCAGAGCAAAGTTTGAATTGCATGTTCCCAGCTGAGAAGTAACAAGGCTACCTCTGCCTTCTTGTCTCAGTTCTCATACTGCAAACATGTCCTTTTTGAAATCAATTTAGTGCCACATTTTTCACATTTTGGTGTTTTTTCTTGGCAATTTCTACTGTTTAAAATGACCCCCAAGTGCAGTGTTGAAGTGTCTCTAAATGAGAGAAGATGGCTCTGTGCCTTAGGAAGAAAATCAGTGTGTTAAATAGGCTTCGTTCAGGCATGAATTACACAGTAAGTCCTCACTTCAGGTCATTCATAGGTTCTTAGAAATTGCAACTTTAAGCAAAATTGACATATGACAAAACCAGTTTTGCCATTGGCTAATTGATATAAACAAGAGTTAAGTTCCTACAGCATTATTTCTGGTTATAAAAACATCACCAAACTTCTAAATAAAGACCTAAACCACTTACAATATTAAACATTGAAATAAATGTGAGCTACACTTACATTAAAGAAGAATAAAAATAGGAAAGATAATTATTTTCCAACCCGCTTCTTCCAGTTCAGGGTCACAAGAGGCTGGGCCTCTCCCAGCAGCTCAGGGCACAAGGCAGGACCCGTCCTGGACCGGACGCCCTTCCTCATGGGGCCACTCACACCCACACCCACTCACACTGGGACAGTTCAGACATGCCAGTTTACCTCCCAGGCGCATCTTTGGAATGTGGGGGGAAACCAGAGTCCCCGGAGAAAACCCACACAGACATGGGGAGGATATTCAGATGCCATACAGACTGTGGTCCCGGCCGAGAATCAAATTTCTTTTTTCTTACCAACGTAACAAAACGATGTTATTTGAAGACCTGCCATACTATTGGCCTTGAGTTCATGAGTCAACAGTATGTATTAAATAAGGTGGCAGTGGCTCAGTGGTAAGTAGGAGGTCACAGTTCTATTCCCCGTCAGGGCACATGCCCCGGTTGCTGGCTTGGTCCCCAGTAGGGGGGTGCAGGAGGCAGCCCATCAATGACTCTCATCACTGATGTTTCTCTCCCTCTCCCTTCCTCTCTCTGAAATCAATAAAAACGTATTTTAAAATAATAATAAAAAATAAGGTGCCTTTACACAGAATCACACAAAACATGGTTATGTATGACCAGTTGACTAAAACATCATGATCAGAGGAGGCTCGAAGGACTCTTCCCCCGTATTTCCCCCGAGGGCAGTGGCAGTGATATCTGATAATTCAGCGTTGGTGACTTTACAGAGCATAACTACTGTGAATAATGGGAAGCTGTTATATGTATATGTATAGGTATGTCCATGTGTGTAAACATTAATTTCATTTGGAAATAATTTCAAAATTACAAAACAAACCTGCAAGGATGGAAATAGGCGGACGCGCTTTCCGCCTTAACGCTGTAAGGGTGCTGCCCCGTGGGCTTCGCCTCCTGCTCTCTGGGTGTAGATGTGAGTGTCACAGTGCCTGTGCTTTTCTTCTCAACCATTCGAGCATGAGTGCATGTGTCGTGGCCTTAACACTTGGGTCTGTATTTCCCGAGTAGAAGGACATGATTACACATAACGACAGTACAGTTATCAATCTGTATCCATTCTGCTCTCCGTGCTCATTTTCTTCGTTGACCCAGGAGCATCTCCCACCGTTTTCCCCTCAGTGCAGGATTAGTCCCAGGCTGTCAGCTTATTGCATTTACTAAAGAGCTACTATGGCTCTTTAGTCTCCTTTAATCTGGAACATGCTCTCAATTTCCCTTTGATTTTTATGACATTGACACTTTTGAAATATAGTCCCCACTCTTTTTAATAGAAGATTCCTCATTTGGGGCTTGTCTGATGGGTCCTCGTGATCCGAGCCAGGCCCTACATCTCATCTCAGCTGGAGCACTTCGTCAATGCCGTGTCCTCCAGCACCCAGACGGGGACATGATGTCCATCAGCCCTGCACACCTCATGTGAATTTGATCACCTGGTCAAGGAGTTACCTGATTTCTCCACTGTATAGTTAGTGGGTTTTTCTAACAATCGGTCTGTGGAGACTTTAAGACCATGTGAATTCCCTGCTCCTCACTGAGCCCCCTCCCCCACATTTAGCGTCCGTGGATGACTCTCCCCTGAGCCAGCCTTTACTGCGATGGTTGCAAAGCAGCACATACATCATTTCAATAGAGTAAGTCACACACTCTATATTCAGTTTCACCTCCTGTATTTTTCACTGAATATTTTAAATGTAAGCATTTTCTCTCTTCCTTAAGCAGTTTCTGTAATTTCTACATTTTATAAAATTGTGGGTGTAAAATTGGTTTTCTAGAACTTCCAAGGGCCTGAAGGGTGCCTGTGACTCCCGTGATTATTATGTCTCTGCTTGACTGCTATGTTTTAAGGGGGTACCTGGTGGCCTCCACCCCACAGTTAATGCCTGCTTTTACCCACAGTGTTATAGACACCCACCTGGGGCCCGGCCTCAGCCCAGTAAGGAGGGAAGAGCCCAGCACTGGCCCTGTCCCAGGCTTGCTATGTGACCTGGGACAAGTGAGGCTGGAGTGGGGTTAGGAACTTGTCCTTCCACCCCTGACAGTAGATCCCCTGGCCAAAGGTGCTCACCTAGACACTGGAGAACCTTGGGCATAAAATCTGCCAAGGGCCAGACCTGTGGGGGAGGGACAGAGAGAAATGGTGTGAAGAGGGGCACAGAGCTGTAGGGGGAAGTGGCAGGGTGCTGATATCCAAACCTTGTGTGGCTTTGTCAACCCTTTGAGGCACGGTGGTCATCTCATTTTGCAGACATGAAACCCAAGGCTTAGAGTCTCATGTTCAATTTTTATTTTCTTGAATTCAACCTCCACACATGAACTCAGGGCTCTGTAAACCCATCTGCTCTTGCCTCTCCTCAACTTTCCCTAAACAGCTCCCACGCTACTTCCTATTTCACCGTTCCTCAACACACAGCAGAGATTTTTTCTGCTCTAGGGCTTTTGCCCATGCTGTTCCCTCTACCTGGCACAGATGGGTTCTCCTCCCCCAACCCCCCCCTTTTTACCTACCCCCTCTGCCACTCCTGAAGACACTTGCTGATCAAGCCCTTGCTCTCTCCAGGACAAGCACTGACCCTGAGGGACACCATGGAGCAGCCCAGTCCACACCAGAGCCACTCCTTTCTGCCCCAATGGCGCCCCCTCCAGGCAGCGGCCAGGACTGTCACTTTGGAGACAAGAACAGTGTTTGTAACAATAACCTTGGACAATCCCCCACCCTCAATCCCCCTGCCGGACCAGGAGGCTTCCTCAAGCACGAACTTCCACAGAGAGCGGTACAGACCTGGCCTGGCCCCTGGAACCTTCGGCCTAGACACCCAGGAAACCCCAGCAGTTTCTGGAGTTTGTTTGGGGAGGCTGAGGCTATCTGACCAGGCACCTCTCCCCAGAACGAGCTGCCCTGAGGACCATCTTGGCACCCTGGGCACATCTCTAACCTCCCTTTCTTCCCTTCCTTCTCCCGGGTCTCCCTCAGACTGACCCCAGAGAGCTATTGTCCCAGGAAAGGGTCAGAGGAGGCCCAGGGTCTCCTTGCAGGCACCAAGGAGGGAAGTCCAGTCCTCAGGAGCCAGGTGAGGACCCCCTTTTCTGCAGCCATTTACAGGCCAAGGCAGTTCCCAGGGCTGCTTGTCCCCACATCCTGAGCCTCCTTCAAACAGTGGTACAAGCTCCCCTTAGCCCATCTGCCCAGCGAGGTACAAGGTTCAAGGTGTTGGGGTACAAGGACCTTTTCCCCCCAACATCAATACACACACACACTCCAAGCTGCTGGCCAGAGGGTGGTCACCAAGGCCAGGAGCCACAGTATTAGGAAAGTTTGGAAGCCCCTCTCCTCACCCCCACAGTTGACCTGGCTTGGAGCTGGAGTAGGGTGGCCACAGGAGTTCAGACCAGTAGTCCAGACATGCTGTGACTGGTCAGTAATTTGGTGTCCCCTGGGCTGACTAGATGTTCCAAAACTGGGCCTCCCACCGCAGGTACACCTATGCACACCCTGACATATGCACCCACTGACCCTTGACACACGCACACTCAGAGGGGTCATATGTGGCCATGCAGATGGGGTGCTGGCAGTCAGCCATGCTCAGGCCGCACAGATGCACATGCTTGGGCTCCAGGACTGAGCCCCAGGCTGGGCAAGGCAGTGTTCGCACCACCACAAACATTCCTGCAACCTGACTGCGCGCACACCCCCCGGTACACTCAGCGAGCGTCCAGGGATGTGTATGCCAGGCACACGCATCAAAATGCACACGTACCAACAGCCCCCCTTCAGTCTTACCAGGCACCAGCCCAGAGCTTTCTCAACCTTGTCTCCTGTAGCCAGAAAGAGAACCCAAGGGATATTGTTGGCGAGAAAACTCGAACGACCTCTCCCTCTTCCTCTCAAGCCCTGCTGAGTTTCTCTAGGCCTGTGCATGGCAGGAAAAGCCAGCCTTGGCCCAGCAGCGCCCACCTCTAGAGCTGGGGGGCCCATGGGTTATGGCTTTGTGCTGTAGCAGTGCTGCTGGGCTGCAGGGGAAGCCTGGTGCCCCATTATGGCGCCCCCGAGGTGCACCAGGATGGATATGCAGTCCGCCCAGGGAGCAGCCCAGGGAGCCTGAAAGTGCTCCCAGGTACAGGTGGGTGGTGCTCACAACCTGCCTGAAGGCAGCCCGTCTTGGAGGCAACCAGTATGTCCCATCGGCCCCACCCCCTCCCTGTTGGCTTTTGGTAGCTCTCGCATGCGGTTTTATTAACAACAGTCTAGGAGCGATGCTTTAGTGGCTTAACCCAGAGTTAATAGTACTCTTTCCAGCAAAATCAGGCAGCTGCCCACCCAAAGGAGGTGCTGATTGGTCCACTAACCGCCAAAGGCCCACACCGGGAGGGGCTTACAGGTGGCAGGTATCAAAGAAGTGGTTTCCCAGTGAGCGTCTCTGCCTGCCCAGTGTGGGCTCAGCCATGCCCCCTTCCCAAGTCCTCCCCAGGTCCTTCCCCTCCCCGAAGTGGAATTGTTGAAGTGTGGCGAGTCCGTGCTCGAGACAATAAAGCTTGTGACTGAGGTCCAGGACCCGTGCAGTTGTCTGCTTCTCTCTGTCGGTGCCCTGGGCTCCCCAGCCTCTCCCAGCTTGTGAGCACACTGGTGCCAGGAGTTGGTCTCAATCCTGTTCCTGATGGGCTGCCTGCCAGCTAATTTGACTTGAGTGTGAATGGCTGGCAAGGACCTCAGAGGAGCTGATGTTGAAGACACCCCAGGCTGAGCTGCCTTGTTTGGATTTGAATCTGAGTCTTCAGAAAATCTTGTTTGTAGTAGTTCTTGGAGAGGGGCAGGGGTTTGAACTTGAATCTGTTAAGAGTTAAAAGTGGGCCTGCAAGAAAAAAAA